TGCTTCGTTCTATCTCCTTTTATAAATCCTCCCTTCAATTGGGCTATGCATGCAGCATTGTCTTCGTATAAAATTATGGATTTTTTCTCACATTCCAAACCACATTTTTCTCGAATAAAATAAATTATTGATCTCAACCATATGCATTCCCTACTTGCTTCATGAATAGCTATTATTTTAGCATGGTTTGAAGAAGTAGCAACAATAGATTACTTTGTGTAGCGCCATGATATGATAGTACCTCCACATGTAAACACGTAACCGGTTTGAGATCTAGATTTATGGGGATCAGATAAATAACCTGTATCTACATAACCAACAAGATCTGCACTATCTTTGTTAGCATAAAACAAACTCATATCAAGAGTTCCTTTTAAATATCGCAATATATGCTTAATCCTGTTCCAATATCTCAGTGTAGGAGAAGAACTATATATTGCTAGTAAATTAACAGAAAATGCTATGTCAGGCCTTGTAGTATTAGCAAAATACATTAGTGCACCAATTGCACTGAGATAGGATACTTCAGGACCAAGGAGTTCCTCATCCTCTTCTGGAGGTAGGAACAAATCTTTATTCACTTCAAGTGATCGAACAATTATTGGTGTACTCAATGGGTGCGCTTTGTCCATATAAAAGCGTTTTAAGACCCTTTCTGTATATGCAGATTGATGGATAAAGATCCCGTCTGCTAAATGTTCAATTTGCAGACCAAGACAAAGTTTTGTCTTTCCAAGATCTTTCATCTCAAATTCTTTCTTAAGATATTCAATTGCCTTTTGGAGCTCTTCTGGAGTTCCAACAAGATTTATGTCATCAACATAAACAGCAAGTATAACAAATTCTNNNATGGACAAATAACATCATTTATGTAACCCTCTTTCAGCAAATATTCACTGAGGCGATTATACCACACGCGTCCAGATTGCTTTAAACTGTACAAAGATCTTTGTAATCTGATTGAGTACATTTTCCGAGATTTTGAATATGCTTCAGGCATTTTAAATCCTTCAGAAATTTTCATGTAAATTTCATTATCAAGTGACCCGTATAGATAAGTTGTAACCACATCCATTAGATGTATTTCAAGCCTTTCACGTAAGGCTAAACTGATGAGATATCTAAATGTTATGGCATCCATAACGGGTGAATATGTTTCTTCATAATCGAGTCCAGGACGTTGTGAGAATCCTTGTGCAACAAGGCGGGCCTTGTATCTTTCAACTTTATTTTTATCATTCCTTTTTCACACAAAAACCCATTTATGACCAACTGGCTTTATACTAGCAGGTGTTTGGACTACTAGTCCAAAGACCTCTCTTTTAGCAAGTGACTTCAATTTCGATTGAATTGACTCTTGCCATTTTGGCTAATCAGATCTTTGTCGACATTCTTCGACAGATCGGGGTTCAAGATTCTCACTATCTTGCATAATGTTAAGTGCAACATTATATGCAAAAATATTATCCACCACTATTTCAGATCGATTTAAATTAATCCCATCACCAGTAGAACTTATTAAAAGTTCCTTACTCACTTGAGTCTCGGGTTCATTGATTTCTTCAGGAATCTCAGAACTAATCAGATCTTGGGTCTTTTTAGGAGATCCCTTCATAATCTCATTTCGATCATTTATCGATTTTCTTTTTCTAGAATTTCGATCCTTAGAACCCAAAGGCCTACCACGCTTCAGGCGTGCTTTAGGTTCACTAGATCTCATGATAGTAGATGGTCCTGCTGGGACATCAATTCAGATAGGCATATTCTCTGCAAGGATATATGACTTAGTTATCCTTTTCAAATCAGTAAATGCATCTGGCATTTGATTTGCTATATTCTATAAATGGATGATCTTCTGGACCTCCTGATTACATATAGGGGTACGCGGATCAAAGTGATATAAGGATGAAACTTTTCACACAATTTCTCTTTTGATTTCCTTTTTCTCTCCCCCTAATTGTGGGAAATTTGTTTCATCAAATCGATAATCTGCAAATCGAGCAGTAAATAAATCTCCTATCAATGGTTCAAGATAGCGAATAATAGAGGGTGATTCAAACCCAACATATATTCCTAACCTTCTCTGCGGGCCCATCTTACTGCGTTGTGGTGGTGCTACTGACACATATACAACACATCCAAAAATTCGTAGATGGGCAATATTTGGTTCATGACCAAAAACTAATTGTGACGGAGAATATTTATTATAATGTGTCGGTCTGAGACGGATAAGTGATGCTGCGTGCAAGATAGTATGGCCCCAAATAGTAGTAGGCAATTTTGCTTTCTTAAGTAGTGGTCTTGCTATCAACTGCAAGTGTTTAATAAATGACTCTGCAAGGCTATTTTGAGTATAAACATAAGCTACAGGATGTTCAACTTTTATCCCAACTGATAGACAATAATCATCAAAATCTTGAGATGAGAATTCTCCAGCATTATCAAGGCGAATAACCTTTATAGGATAATCTGGGAATTGTGCGCTTAATCGAATTATTTGGGCTAATAACTTTGAAAACGCCAGGTTGCGAGATGATAGTAGGCACACATGAGACCATCTTGAAGATGCATCTATTAGAACCATAAAATATCTGAACAACCCATTTGGTGGGTAAATAGGTCTACATATATCCCCATGTATACGCTCTAAAAAGGTAGGGGACTTAATTCCAACCTTCATTGGTGATGGTCTAGTGATCATTTTGCATTGATAACAAGCATCACAAGAAAATTTATCATTTGTAAGAATCTCCAGGTTCTTTAGTGGATGCCCACTCGAATTTTCAATAATTCGTCTCATCATTATTGATCAAGGATGGCCCAAACGGCCATGCCAAAGCACAAAAGTATTTGAATTAGTAAACTTCCGATTTACGATAGATTGTGCTTCAACTGTACTAATCTTTGAATAGTATAAGCCAACAGATAAAGTTGGTAAATTTTCTACAATGCAATTATGGCCAGAAATATTCTTTGTAATACAAAGATATTCCATATTCATTTCATCTATCGTCTCAACATGATACCCATTTCGGCGAATATTTATAAAACTCAACAAGTTTCTTCGGGACTTGGAGGAGAATAATGCATTGTTTATAATAAGTTTTGTTCCCTTAGACAGAAATACAATAGCTCTTCCGGAGCCTTCAATCAAACTTATATTACCAGAAATTGTAGAAACATTTGCTTTTTTCTTATGCAAATAAGAAAATTATTTATGATATTTGAATATGGCATGAGTTGTCCCACTATCAATTATACGAATATCTTCATAATTGGTCTTTGATCCAAACATAATTTGAGGATTATCCATATTCTTCAAAATGACATAAACAAAATAAATATGATAGTAAACATTATTATCAAAGCATAACTTTTATTTATGTACAACTATTACATAACCATACTATCTACTACAAACAATAAAAATTAAAATATTTACATCTCTACAGATTCATCACCGATCACATGACTTGTTTCTCCTTTCGGGAGTGCAAAGTAATCAGCTACATCCAAATGCATGAAGTCTAAATTATCTTCAGAAATAAAATTTGCTTCAGTATTTTTCTCAGTCTTCTTCAGGAAGGCTTGATACAGCTCAACCAGGTGCTTTGGCGTAACCAGTGCCCTTTTCCTCCACATCTATAGCATGCATTTTTTGCGTTTGCTGCTTGCATCGCTTCATGCTTTTGTTCATTCCTTTTCCACTGCTGGTGGTAAGGATGGTTCTTTGGTGCATTATTATTACCATGATTAGTGTTTCTTCACCGACCACGGTCATGACCACGACTGGGCCCACGTCCTCTTCAATGCTTAGCTTGGTGGAAGTTCGTCTCATTCACTTCAGGGAATGGACGAGAACCAATAGGTCGACTTTCATGATTTTTTATTAATAGCCCATTATGTTGCTCGACTACAAAAAGATGTGAGATAAGTTCAGAATACTTTTTGAATCCCATCTCTCGATATTGCTGTTGCAGGAGCATGTTCGAGACATGAAAAGTGGTGAAAATTTTCTCAAATATATCATGATCAATAATATTATCACCACATAATTTTAATTGGGAAATAATTCTGAACATAGCAGAATTATACTCACTGATAGATTTAAAATCTTGTAGCCTTAAATGAGTCCAATCATATCGTGCCTGTGAAAGAACGATCATCTTCAGGTGGTCATATATATCTTTCAAATTATCCCACAGTATGACTGAATCTTTAAAAGTAAGATATTCCATTTTCAGGCCCTCATCAAGGTGATGACGTAGGAATATCATTGCTTTGGCACGATCTTGGTTTGATGCCTGATTTTTGTCCTTGATGGTATCTGCCAGACCCATCGTATCAAGATGAATTTCGGCATCAAGCACCCAAGACATGTAGCTTTTGCCCGATATATCCAAGGCTACAAATTCAAGTTTAGAAAGATTTGACATTATTTAGAAAAAGAAAGTTCGTACCTATGATACTTTCAAAGTATTTGTTCGAGATGACAGAGTCTTGTGCTGATAACGTGTAAAGTAAATAAACCGAAGACAAGTATAGAGAGAGATTGATATATTATTCAAATTTCAAACTTATATATATAATGAACTGAAAACTCCTCTATTTATAGAAGAAAGGAAGTAGCTGCGAGGCTTTTCAGGAAGCAACTGCAAGGCTTTTCTTTAGCTGCTTGTAAGCTGTCTGCATGAGCTGCTTGCAACCTGCCTGTTTAATAAGAAGCTGCTGCAAATTATTTCATTGAGCTACTTGCAACCTGCCTGCATCAGCTGCTTGTAGATAAACTGTACTAAATGGATAATCTTTTTCAGGAAGATTATCTATAGCGGAGTAATAAATGGACATCCACAATATAAATTTTCATAACAGATTTAAAAAAAAAAGTGAATTTTTTTTGGAAAAAGAAGGAAAATGTTTCCGGGATCCTAGAGTACTAGATCCAAATGTACATCCACACCACACCAATAAGAAAATCCCCATATAGAACTTAAGAGATGACCTTGAGCCTAGAGACTATTTAGCGGACTACTCCTTCCATCCTTCTTTGTCCTCCCCCTCCTTTTCAAAATCGCGCCTAGTACTTCCGACTCTCATTTTTATTTATAAGCTCCCAAGCAAGCTTTATTTTCTGTAAAGAACTAGACTTTAATTGCCATTTGCTTGCCATTTGCCCTCGACTTTTACATACCCAAAAAATACGTATAAAAGTTGTTAATTTTCGGCTTTCTAACTTTAAACCCAAGACTTCTACTCCTTTACAAAGAGTTTGTATTTTCATTGTTTTGGCTCCAGAAAAAGTTTATAAGAAAGGCTTTTGCTTATATCTGATTTGCCCAACTTGAAGACGGTGGTATTTGGAAGGCTAAAATACAGAAACATAGTTAAGATTTTAGGTTGGGGTTTCGTGAAAATGGATAAAAAGAAAGTGGCAGTGCCATTGGTTTGCCATGGTCATTCACGTCCAGTGGTTGATTTGTTCTATAGCCCAGTTACCTCTGATGGGTTCTTCCTCATTAGCGCCAGCAAAGGTATGTCTTTTTGCTCTTTCCTTATTTCCAGTTTGTTTAGTTCAAAAAATAGTTTTTGAGGTCAAAGCAATTAAATAAAATAATTTGGGTTTTCAACAACCGATTTACTTCACTTTTCCAAATATAATTGATGCGAAAAAAGAGTAATAATAATAAAGAAATAAATTGAGAGAATAAAGGAAATAGAAATCTTATTGATGATTGCAGCCTTTCTCCAGTAGGCAAGAAATAGTCTTCCATTAATAGAGAATAGTAAGAGAATTCTATAATTGACAATATGACTTAGTAGAATTTTTGTTGGGGATACAAGATATGGAAGGGAGATTTAAATAGTACTATCACTCGTAACCATTTGCGTTGTTTAGCTCTTGCTTGTTTCTGTTATTTATTGCATTAATTGCCCGTTACGTGATTGATTTGTAACGATTGAGATAATAATAGTAAATCGCGTGTAATCAGGGATTGACTGTTCCTTTCCATATTCGTAGCTGTTAATGACTTTAATCATCAGTGCCATGGCTATTCTTTTATGTTTAACCTCGAAGCTAACAGGCACGGTGCATACACAAACAACCCCGAGGATGTTGTTTATATCATCTCAACACGTCATTCTTTTTTGTTGTAATAACATCCATGACACCTGTTGTCATGATATAAATTCACGTGGCAAGTTTATTTTCCACTAATACAGATAGTCCCTCCACTTCATGAATATTCTCAACTGAATATTCGGGAAGTAGAGATTTTATTTATGGTGGGAATGTTTTGCCGCCTCCTCCCGAGATAATTATGACGTGTTGCAGAAGTGATGAGACATGCACTTCTCCTTCTATTTAATGCTCGAGACACATGTCTTGTCGTGATTCGTTCTAAATTCTGCATCGGTTTTCCAGGCACAAACGACTCTGTTAATTTAATATGACAGTTCCATGATGACCGTCTGTGATGATATATCTTTCCCTTATAAATACGGAAGCTTAAATCCTCAAAATTCTCCTTGTACTTTCTTTCACCTCTTTCTTCTTCTCCAAACCCTTTCTCTAGCTCTTCACTCTTTCTTTTGATTTCATTCTTTCTTATTTTCAATGACTTCCAATTCTTCTACTTTTGCTGCTTCCCTTCGTCGTGCTATTATAGTCGACAATCTTCCTTCTACGGTGGCTCTAGTTAGGAATAGAAAAGGTGGTAGAAGGCTTCGTAGCATTGGTTCTATAGCAAATAGAAATACTTCCTCTTCCACCAGAGGGGGTTCTTCAAAATCCGCATCTTCTTCTAGAACTAGGGCGTCTTCTACCCCTGAATCTTCTTCTAAAGGCAAAGCCAACAATTCAAGTTAACGACCGCTGAAGTAGCGGTGGCAAAGGTTGAGGTAAATTAAGCGGAGAAGGAGAAGGCTAAAATGGAGGATAATTTTGCCAAGCAACATTCTATGGCCACAGAAGAGATTCGAAGTTTGAAAGGTCTTCTTATGATGCTACCGAAGTAGAGAAAGAAAATTTGCGGCTTGAAGTTGATCAATTGGAAAAAGAGTATGAGAATTGACTATGGATTTAAGTTGGGCTTATCTCTGCACCCGTTTTGAGACTTTGACTGAAGCCAACTAGGAAGGTATTGACCTCGAAGCTGAACTTGCCAAGGCTAAGGAAGCTATTGAAGTGTCTCAGCAAGGTCAAAGCTTTTCCACTCCCAATAAAGAAAGTTGTAGGGGTGATATGAGTAAGGGAGATGTGGAGGTAGATCCTCAACCTTCATCTTTGAGTCTCCGAATTAATTCTCCTTCAACTGCGGTTCCTTCCCCAATTGATTATCCTCCTTCTCAAGATGTTCCTTCCGAGCCTTAGCTTTTATTTTTGCCGAGTTTTTGTGTTTAAGTTTGTTTTTGGAGATATTTTTATATCAAACATGTTTCGTTTTGCTCGTTCAATTTTTCCCGAGTCTTTTATTGCATTACTTTTATGCTTTGATTAAGTGAATGCCTTATTGTTGCCGTAGCTAAACATATACGGTCTTAATCGTAAAAGAGGGACCTTTCATGCAATCGGCACTAATGAAGATGACGTCTCATCTTTATATTAGTGTAAAAAAATGAAATAACTTGAGAAGTTTTCTTTAAACTTTCAAAGCAAATATTCATTTATGAGATCATTACAACTGCTTTCTTGTAGCAAAATTATTTCATACTTTACAAGTTCTCGGGAATATTTTATCCCGTGACTACTTGAATTGAAATTTCTTGAATTCTCTTTGAAATCTTCACTTCTTCTTGGAATTCTTTTCCTTCGCGTCTTCTTGGAAATCTTCTTGAGATGATAACTCTTATATAGTCCCCCAATGTTTGAGTTTAAAGTATGAAAAATTGAACACTGGATTTTCGAGGGAATTTCAATGACTTCTCTCCTTGGTCCTTTTTCTGAAATGGAAACATGCACGGGACTCGAGACTTTTAGATGAAGACTGTGCTTAATCTCCTCCGTCAGAATTATTGTAACGTTGACCGGTAATAATTAAGTGTTCTGCCTGTTGGGTCTATTGTTATTATTTGGTTCGGGTTAGCTTTGTGCCTATCATAAAAAAATGTTAGTAAAATTTATATGAACAAATAAATAATTGATTAAAAGATACCTGACCGTGGGTGTCTCTTTAAGTGTACTGCATTCCAATTTGAAGATAGCACTTTCCCGTCCATAGCTCTAATTCATATGCTCCTTTCCCTTCCATGCCACGAACTAAATACGGACCTTCCCATCTCGGGCCTAATTTTCCTGAATTTACCGCTTATGTAGACTGGAGCACCTTTCTAAGGATAAAGTCCCCAATTTTGAAATGTCGTAAATTTGCTCTTATTATAGTATCGCTCTATCCCTTTGCTTTTGAGCTTCCATTCATATCAATGCTAACTCCCTTCGCTCCTCTGTCATATCCAGATATGTGCGTAGTGCCTCGTCATTCGATAGTCCACTTACGTGATTATATCTCGACTCGGTTCTCCTATCTTCACTGGAATCAAGCTTAAGTGTTGTAAACAAGTGAAAAAGGAGTTTCTCCCGCACTTGTTTTTGATATTGTTTTATAGGCCTATAACACTCTTGGTAACACCTCAGCCATTTACCTTTTGCTGCTTCAACCGTTTCTTCACATTATTGATAATTATCTTGTTTATCGACTCTGCTTGTCATTAGCAATGGGATGATATGGTGACAAAGTTATTTTCTTGATTTTCCAACTTTAAAAAAATTCGTTGCTCTTTGCCCCCACAAATTATGGTCCATTGTCACACATGATTTTCCTTGAAACTCCAAATCGGCAAATTATATTTCTCCAAATGAAGTCTATGACTTCTTTTTCTCGTACCTATTTGAAGGTACCTACTTCTACCCACTTAGAAAAATAATCAGTTAAAACCAGCAAAAGCCTTACCTTTCCCGACGCTTGAGGTAATGGACATACGATATCCATCCTCACTTCATAAACGGCCACGGTGCGAGCGCTGAATGTAGTCTGGTTAATGCAATTGATTTGTGTACCATTGACACTTATCACATCTTTTCACGAAATTTTCTGCTTCTTCTTCCATTCGTGGCCAATAATACCCCGTTCTTATAAATTTTTTTACCAATGACTACCACTTGCTTGACTGCATACTGTTGCTCATGCACTTCTCGCATAACATATTCAGTTTGTCCAGGCCGCGATATTTAGTCAAAGGACCACTAAACATTTTTCGATACAAATTCCCTTCTACCAAGCAATAGCGAGCAGCTTGTATTCATAGCCGTTGAGATTGTTTTTTAATCTTCACGCAATATTCTATGCTGCAAATAATTCATAAATTCATTTCGCCAATCCTATATTAAGCTATTAAAATTTACCTCGCTTTTTTGGTTGATCGAGTGACGAATGAAATAGATGCACCACTATTGCATTTTCAGAGTTGGTTATATCCGCTATCGATCCAAGGTTCGCTAACGCACCTGCTTCTGCATTTTCTTCCCTTGGGATTTGAGTAGCTTTCCATTCTCGGAACTGATGTAACAAATCCCATACCTTTTCTCGGTACTGTTGCATTCGTAACTCTCATTCCATGTAATTTCCTTGCATTTGGTTAACTACCAGCGGAGAGTCAATTTTAATTTCGATCTACTCAACTCTCATTTCTTTTGCGAGTTCCAAACTTGCAACCATTGCTTCATACTCGGCTTCATTATAAGTAATAAGATAACATTTATCGCTTGTCTAACAATTTCCCTAGTGGGTGCAATCAAAATAATACCCAAACCTGCTCCTTTTACATTAAAGGATCCATCCGTGTATGAAGCCCAAGTCCCTAGATTGGACCCGGTGCTGATAGATACCTCTTTTTCAGCTTCGGGAAGTAGGTTCGAGCTAATGTCTGCTACAAAATCTGCTAGTACATGTGACTTTATGGTAGCTCGTAGTTGATAAATAATATCATATGCACTAAGTTCTATTGCCCATTTGACTAATCTTCCGATAACCCATGCTTATATAAAATTTACATAATGGAAAAGTTGTCACAACAGATATGGGGTGACATTAAAAATAAGTTCATAATTTCTTGATGCCATTATTAGTGCCAATGCTGATTTTTTTAAATGTGGATATGTTGTCTCAACTTCTAATAATGCTTTAATAACATAACAGATAAGAGATTGCATACCTTTTTCTTCTCGAACCAAAACTGTACTCACCGATACTTCAAACATGGCAAGGTAAACAATCAACCTTTCCCCCTCCTTTGGCTTTGATAGCAAAGGTGGCTTTGAAAGATAGGTTTTCAAATCCCTCAATGCTTGTTGGCATTCATTTGTCCATTCAAACTTGCTTTGCTTTTTCAGCAACGAGAAAAATTTGAAACATCTTTAAGAGGATTTGGATATGAATCTCTCCAGGGTTGCTGCTCTCCCCGTGAGTCTCTGTACTTCTTTTTTGCTTGTAAGTACATCCGAGATTTCTTCAATAGCTTTGATTTAGCTGGATTCACCTTGACCCCTCTGTTAGAAACAAGAAAGCCTAAAAACTTACTTGATGCAACATCGAATGCATATTTCTCTTCAACTTCATGATGCACTTTCAAAGAATTACAAAAGTTTCTTTCAAATGCTCGAGATGATCTTCAATGTTCACTTCCATAGTCTTCTCCAAATGTTCTTAGAACATTTTGGTTACCAACCTTTGATATGTGGCTCCAACGTTCTTTAGACCAAAGGGCATAATCTTGTAATAATAAATCCCCTGTCTGTAATGAAAGAAGTTTTTTCCTTGTTCTCGGGATCCATTTTAATTTGATTATATCCATAATAACCATTTAAAAAAATGAAAAGCTCATGGCCAACATTAGAATCAATTAATTGATCAATATGCGGTAAATGAAATGAATCTTTAGGACATGCTTTGTTCAAATCAGTATAGTCTATGCATACTCGCCATTTACCATTCTTTTTTGGAACTACGACAGTATTTGCTAGCCAATCAGGGTATTTTACCTCACGTATGAAACCGATTTTCAAGAGTTTACTTACATCTTCCTGTATTACCTGATTTTTGAAAGCACCTTATTTCCTCTCCTTTTGCTTTAACGGTGGGTGTAATTGATCTTCATTAAGTTTGTGAGTCATTACCTCCGGTGGAATTTATGTCATATCTGAATGCGACCAAGCAAAACAATCAGAGTTAGCCCGTAAAAATTCAATTATTTTATGCTTTAGCTCCGGGCTAAGGTTTGTTCCAATATAAACTCTTCTCTTGGGCCAGTGGATGAATAAGATAACAGCCTCGAGCTCCTCTGATGTTGTTTTAATTGTTTCATTCTCCTCTGGTTTGCCGTCTATATCAGCTTCGATGCCCGTATCTGATACTACAGTCGCTGAGGGCTCAGTAGTTTCCTTAGCTTGCACTGTAATTGCTATTTTTCTTCTCCATCCTTGGTTGTTCCACTTGCAACAGCCGCCGTATTTGTTTCTCGTGCTGCTCATTGATCTCCCCTAATCTGTAGAATTCTCCATTGTGATGAGGATTTAATAATTTGATGCAAAGTTGAGGATAATGCATCCATCTCATGAATCCATGATCTTCCTAGAATTATTTTATAAGTCATATCAGCTTTCACCACTTGAATTTTATAGCCCGTTTGGCCAAGCTACAAAAATCAGCTTATTTTGAGAAGTGTTTTTTTCTCAAAAGTGCTTTTCTCAAAAGTACTTTTGGTGAGAAGCAGTTTTTGTTTGGCTAATTAATTTGAAAAGCACTTCTAAGCAACAATTAGTGTTTGGCCAAGCTTTTAAAAACCGCTTCTAAGTGTATTTTTCTCAAAAGTGCTTTTCAAAAAAGTGCTTTTGGAGAGAAGCTACTTTTTTCCGCTTCTCCAAAACTGCTTCTGCTTCTCAAAATCACTTTTTTTCTTCCAAAAGCTTGGCCGTATACTCCAACTTTGAAAAATAATTCAAAAAAAGTGCTTGTACGATTGGAGAAGCTTGACCAAACAGGCTATTAATGTCTTTCACCACTCCATCGGTGAAAGTTGACAATGTGATCTCTCCCTTGGTTATTACACTTGAATTGTCAAATTCGGACAGAGATCGAGCTTCAGACATTATCCGATCCGTTGTTTGCATTTCATTAACCGTGTAGTAATATAATATTTACCGAATTAATCAAAACTTGTTTTACATTAGTATCATGAACAAGTAGAGAAATTACCAATGCATCATATGGGGTATGAACAAGCCATCTGCGTCTTCATCGTCAAATGTTATGCTCTCCCCTTCCAGAATTTGTCGAATGCGTTTCCCATCGTTATGGATATTGTAGTTGTTCTCTTTGTCCCCGTGTATGTTACCCCATTGACCTCTTCACCTCCGGTTATGACGTTCACTGTCCTTTTAGGTGATGGAGGCTTTGGTGATTCCTCTCTATTCTTCATGTAAGCCTGTTTACCCTTTTCACTAAATAAATCCGTAAGGTAACCTTTCTTCAACAAGTAGTCAACCTCTCCTTGTAAGAGCTTGCAATCCGCTGTTTTGTGCCCATGATTATTGTGAAATTCACACCAAACTCCTGACTTATTTTGCTTGGATCTGACCTCATCTCTCTTGGCCTTCGTATCTTATATCCCATGCTTCTTAATACCACTACTAATTCTGAAGTACTTGCATTAAAATTGTAATCCGCTAATTTTGGTCCGGGACTCTGGTCGTTATTCCTCGTTACTTCTCGTTCTTTTCCAGCTCGTGAAGAACTTACCTCCCTCTGCCTTGACCTTTGATCAGATCGTACCTATTCTGTTTTTTGCACGTGATCTCGCTTCGCTGGTCCCATATAAGGCTCATACCTATTTTATGCAATTTCTTCGCTCTGACTCTGATCTTTTAGGCTCGAACCTGTCTTCCACCTTTGGATGGGACACCGTGCCTTCGTCTATTCGAAGCTTCATGCTGTACCTGTTGTAGACATCATTCCAAGTAGTTGGTGGAAATTATCGTAAACTTTCCTTCAACCTTCTCGTAGCTTCTGAACTTATCTCCTTCAAGTTTCTTGCAAAAGCTATTACTGCCCAATTATCAGGTACGGGAGGTAACAATATTCTTTCTCGCCGGAAGCGGTGCACAAATTCTCAGAGTAATTCAGTGCTTCCTTGTTGTATTTTAAAGATGCCTCCATTTGTTTCTCGACTTTTTGGGCTCCCGAATGTGCTTTAATAAATGAATCTGCAAGCTCAGCAAACGATTCAATTGAATTTTCAGGTAAAAGAGAATACCATGTTAATGTTCCTTTTGTAAGGGTTTCACCGAATTTTATCACCGACTCTATTTCTTGCTTAGTCAAATCATTGCCTTGACTCATGTGAAAAATGCAGTCACATGGTCTCGTGGATCAGAGGTTCCATCGTATTTGGGAATATCCGGCATCTTGAATTTCTTAGGAATGAGCAAAGGTGCAACACTAGGTTTACATGGTTGTGAATATTTGTCCATATCCACACCTTTGATTACTGGCGGTACACCCGATATTTATTCTATCCATTTGGTTTGTTCCTTGAGTTGTTTCTGCTAGGTTAGAACTAAATTTTGTAAATCAGGATTACTTGGAGTACCTGCCTCCTACTCCAGAGCTGCTTGGAATTTCTCTACTTCCTGAATTTTCAAGCCCTGAATTAGGATTTTATGTGGTTGTGTTAACTGGCTCGTAATGCCTCTCCAATCTGCTGAGCAATGAATTGTTTTAACTCTTCCTGCAAACTTGATTGTTCTTCATTGCACTGCTCGATACTATGATCAGCAAATCTGACTGGTGAATTATCACGTGAATGTTGTGGAGAATGTGTAGGCGAATTTCTTGGAGAAGATTCCCCTTGTCCATTCCCCTGCTGAGTAATTTGATTAGTTCCAGACATGATTTGTCGATAAAGTGAAAATATAAATGGAAAGTTGAAAGATTGTTAGATTCCCGACAACGCTGCCAAACTGTTTAACCCCAAAAATAGTTTTTGAGATTCAAAGCAAATAAAATAATTCGGGTTTCCAACAACCGATTTACTTCACTTTTCTAGATATAATTGATGTGAAAAAAGAATAATAATAACAAATAAATAAACTTAGAGAATAAAGGAAATAGAAATCTTATTGATGATTGCAGCCTTTCTCCAGTAGGCAAGAAATAGTCTTCCAATAATAGAGAACAGTAAGAGAATTCTATAATTGACAATATGACTTCGTAGAATTTTTGATGGGGATACAAGCTATGGAAGAGGGATTTAAATAGTACTATCACTAGTAACCATTTGCCTTGTTTAGCTCCTGCTCGTTTCTGTCATTTATTGCAATAATTGCCCATTACATGATTGATTTGTAACGGTTGGGATAATAATAGCAAATTGCGTGTAATCAGGGATTGATTGTTCCTTTTTATATTCGTAGCTGTTAATGACTTTAATCATTAGCCCATGACTATTCTTTTATGTTTAATCTCGAAGCTAACATGCATGGTGCATACGCAAGCAACCCCGAGGGTGTTGTTTATACCCTCTGAACACGTCATTCTTCTTTGTCGTAATAATTTCCATGACACCTGTCGTCATGATATAAATCCAGGTGGCATGTTTATTTTCCACTAATGCATAGTTTATGTAATAGTATTTCCTTTTTTCAGTCATTGAACAAAATGACATTCTATATTTGGAAGCAATTTAACTTTTAACGTCCTATTTTACCCTTAATAAGATGATTTATAACGACACAAATATGTTTTAGACCATAAATTTCAAAAGTCTTTTTTTGTGCCCAGCCAAGCACTATCAAGGAGGGAGTTCTATTGTTGCATATTGGTAAGATACTTTATGGTGTGAGCTTTTTTTTTTTTTTTTTTTTTTTTTTTTTTCAA